GCACATTTCGTTATTTGCCTGGAAGACTAGCACATTTCAGATTTTTGTGTGGAAGAGGGATACGCAAGGTAGTTCATATAAGGTTGTAGCAGCCGTTAAAAAAAAAGTTACATAAATATGTATGTTTATACTATAATTATTTTTCTTCGGTCATGCTGAAAGTTTAGTGTTGTATATGGAGCCTTTTGGCCGGTTATTACAAGTAAAATAAACGTTTATTTTTCCTCCTACACCTTTCGACATTCGCGTCTTTCTCAGGGAATCTTTATTTATAAATAAATACGAAAAAACATATACATACAGTATCATATCAAGAGTACCCCGTTTCAAAGTGATATTATTTATGTTATGTTTATTTATTTACTTAAAAAACCTTCAATTAAAATAAAGTTAATTCTCTTAAAAAAATCCATATTGGCTCAAGTTTAAAGCCCAGGAGAATACTAAAAAAACTCAACAAATTTTCAACAACGCAAACGCAAATGAAATATTTTCCTTCGAAGAACTGTCCAAATATTTTCATTGGCAAAAAATTAAGATATCACATGTACGGAAAATTACAATAAAAAATAGCAAAAATCAAGTAGACATGGCAGTAAAATACGACTTTATGCAAAGCGAGGAGAAGTTGAACCTAATGAAAAAAAATGTTCAATGGTCAACCATGAAACACTGTGAATTGCCTAAAGCTTACAAGGGAAAAATACCTTAAAAAAAAAGAAAAGTGGATGATATTCAACAAATGATTAGTAAACGGTATATACCGTCTGAATTTCATGATTTTCATAATACAATTAAAGAAATATAGAATAAACGTTTGAATTTTCAATATATATTATGCTTTTATGATTTACTTTAAACCGGAGACGTGCAGTTTTCGCGGCTTAACAATCTGAAATATGCTACTCTTCCAAGGGAAAATCTGAAATGTGCTAGTCTTCCACGCAAAAATCTGAAATGTGCTAGTCTTCCACGCAAATAACGAAATGTGCTAGTCTTCCACGCAAAAATCTGAAATGTGCTAGTCTTCCACGCGAGAATCTGAAATGTGCTACTTTTCGACGCGAATAATGAAATGTGCTAGTCTTCGACGCGAATAGTGAAACGTGCTAGTCTTCCACGGTAATTTGAGATGTGCTACTCTTCGTTGGGAGCGACGATATGTATGGTCACTCTATGCATCATCGACAATCCACTGTGAACCATCTTGTTTGGAAGATGAGGATAGTACAGAACATTTTCTCTGCCGCTGTCCGGTCTTCGCCAGACTAATTTAGATGGCACATTCTTTATCGGATCTATTGGGAATGGACGAGCTACATTCTCTTTCCCTCGACAAAGTGCTAAGATTCAAAAAGGAGTACCACCCATATATCCATATCCTCTAAATCCTCTCCCTAGGCCTTAAGTACAATGGGCAATAATGCCTAAGTGCTTGAAAAAATTATTTTTGGTTTTTCCGGCCAAATAAATTTCCATTCTGCTGCTGCTGGCTTTGAACAAATTCGCCGAAATTTCATCTATTTATTGATTTGGATTCCTAAACATCCTGTATGTACTTCTAAGGTACATACTCTGGTATGTACTTCTAAAGTGGCTCGTGTCTTATTTCGCTACAGGGTGTTAGTCCTTTTAATTGCTATAAATAAAGATTTCTACGTTCATCTTTGTAAACTAATTTATTTCATTAACTTTCAGATACATTCAAATTCGTGGTAAACGACACACCGTCAGCTGTACGGAAGACCTGTCAATACAGCATCATTCCGGCGAGACTTGTCCCGTGTGTGGTGTTTATGAACCGCCTATAGTGCCACAAATGCCTACCATTATGTCACAGCAGTCGACTGGCGCTGGAGCAACAGGTGGTGGTGGTGGTGGTATTCGCACAAGACGTACCGGCCTGCTGACTGTAACAGAACGACCGCCAGGTTAGTCGGAAATTTATCGAGCTGGGATTTTGTAGCATAATATAATAGAATGAGCTTTTCTAACAGCAAATAGACATATGTACATATACATGTGCTAATAAAATTTAATTGAACGCTAGTCGTACATACTTAAATACATACATAGTATGTGTAAGGCATGACGCGCACGCGCAGGTTCGCTGCTTTACAATTATCAGCCGTTTTCGCATTTAGTTTGTATTCGAATAAATATTTGTTTACTTTTAAATTATTTTATACACTTATGGTTGCGGGAAAATAAATACGGACGCGATGTTTTAACAACTTTTAACTTTGTTTATTCAGTGCTGCTTTCTCAAGTAGCTTATAAAATTTATCTACCCTTCAAACACACAATAAATTTTTAAAGCTACTTGTGTAAACGGCTCTTAATATTTATTTATTCTTTTTAAAGTATATTATAGCTCACTATCTGACGCAAAACCATGTATCTCAAAATTTTAAACTTTGTGCAAGATTTACAAAATTCGACGAATTTAATCCTGTGTTAATCAATATTTCAAACTAATTATGCAGAATTTAAATTTTTAGAAAAAATTTGGTATGCAGTTTTATAGCAGTAACTAGAACTTGCCGTTATTTTTTGCCCTTTTTTTGCTGGCGGTGTTGCGCATTTTCCTCCAAACATATGTATAAAAAAATTTTCCAACATACTCGTACTCCGTATGGGGAAAAAATCGTGACACAGCACAAAAAAATAAATAAAAAATTACTTGAAACTTGCACTTTATTCCACTGAAATTTTAAATTTTGGTGCAATTTTTTCGAATGTTTCCAACTTTTGTAGAAAAATTTAAATTCGGATTTACATGCTTTTTGTTAGGTAATGAGCTATACTTTCATAAAAAATAATAAACATTAAATTAGCAAAATAAAAATAGCTAACAACTTGTTAAAATGTCGCATCCCTATTTACTTTCCCATCTCTGTATAGTATAAGCACCATTTTTTAACATTCGATTTTGTTTACGTTAGATCTTTATTCACAGTTTGTATTTAATGTATATCGATTTATTATTTTTCGTTGTTTTGGTTTATTAATTACATATTTCTTTTTCGTTCTCTTTTCGTTTTATATACGTTTAAAAAAATATTTGGTTTCTGCTTGGCTGTAATGTAAATTGTGTAATAAACTAAAAACCAAACAAAACGATCCTATTTTTCCTAACCTCACCATTCCTTATATCCACTGCCTCCATCATTCCAACCCCATTCTACTTGCACTCATCCTACATCATGCACCATTTGCACACCTTTTCCCTACACCGACCTACCTGCTTATGCCCTGCGTGTGACAGTGATAAGTCCTGAGCTTATACGCGAGGTGGAATCGCGCATGAATCGCAATTACTTGCCACCTGCTTTAAAAATGCAGCAACATCAATCACATCCGCACCAGCATAGCGCAACGAATCCCACGCTCAGCCAATCCCCTCCCACTGGCGCCTTTGCGCCTTACCATTCGTCATCGAGCGCCAATATTTTGCCTACCCAGGCATTAGCAAATGCAGCCATGACGGCACAAGGTCCTCCTAACGCTTCTGGAAATAGTAGGCGTGTTCATTTCAAATCCACCAACAAGCTGCCAACCGTGCAAGAAGTTGGTAAGTTCTTTTTTTAAGTTATGTTATTTTCTTTTCTTTTAACACTTTTATTTATTTGTTTAAGATTTAACTTTATGTAAGTTGATTTTATATTCACATTAACTATTTTTGTTAATTTTTAATAATCATAGCCATTAATATTGTATTACTTTTACTTGCTAATGTCAAATTATGTTTTTTTTGTATTTCTTCTACCAGCATTAGCTTTGTTACATGTTTTAATTCGCGATTATATTTTTTTGAAACCTGCGCGTTTTTTACCCTCGACAATGTGCTACCCCCTTTAAATGCGTAATAATTAAGTTATTTTTAATATATCTTTGAAAAAACAAAAATCTGTATTTGACGTCTGCTGATTCGTAGTCGACTGAAAGTGAAATTTAAATCTTAACTTGAGTTTTATATTAGATAATAAGTTATTTCGAAACTGATAGTGTCGCCACATTCGAAATCGCAAAAAAAGCAGCCAACTTTTATTTTTACGCGAAACAGCTATCTCGATCTATTTATTTTTTTTTTGCAACTCGGAAGCCGTGTGGCTTATTGCAATTGACATTGTCTAGCTTTAGCAGGAAGTAATAAGAATTTAAAATTAATTAACAGTCTCAAATATAGAATCGTTCTATCAATAGCGCCATCTAAGGTAACCTGATACCCGTGTATTAATGGGTTATCTTGACATTTATTCCGAAGGCTACCTCTCATCTATGAGCGATGTAACAAACTCTGCGAAACTGTCTATCATTTCATATGTATGTATACAGCTTTCCACAGGCAAGTTTGCACCGACCCCTACTAGGTCATCGGGTAATCATTGGCCTTAAAAACGCTGCACTTGCTTTCAGATCCTTCAATTATCTGAAAGTTCGAAGCCAATCAGTGATCAGTAATTGAATTTTTTTTTTCAAAACTACCTTAACCCTAAGAAGGTGTTTCAGTGAAATCATGTGCTTTTTCTTAAAGCGTTATCTCCCCGATAAAACTATAACAGTCCACTTAGTACGAGTACGCGGCCGCAATAAAGAAGTCAAAGCTTTTGCCGATCATACGGGTACCGTACAAAAGAAAGCCGGAATAAATCTTGAAATACAGTTCGTAGATCACTCGCATATGAGAACCCCATGCGCCATCTATTAAAAAACTCTATTATGGCATCTACGGACTGTACCTCTGAATATAGGACGATTACTATTTCCGAAGACCAATCTCTATTACAAACGAAAAATTGGAATTGCTCTATGAAACCTACATTATATTTCCACAACTAAGCGATGTGTACGGTAGCAAAATTAAATTTCTTCTTGTACTATTTAAATAGACCTCATGGACGAGTTGTTGGTACTAAGTGCGTATTGACATGCTTTGTCGTGATTGCGTATGTGGCATACTTTGTACAATTCAGCTTATCTATCAAAGCGAATCTATCACGCAAAGCGAAGCAAGCGTTTTATCTGGTGAGCGTTTATCGTGAGCTAGTGCCAGAACTTGACACCTGTCAGTTTCTAAATCATTATTAATAGAAGATACATTCATGCATTGTCCGCTGTTGCCTTCTTTCAGTGACTGTCAAACATAAATCAAATCACGCAGCTTGCTCAAATCTTTACAGGAGTTTACTAACATACATTTGTATATTAGTTGGCAGGGGCGGAGAAATTGAAAAATTATTTATCACCAAGGTCGAAAAGTTTAAGCTTTTCCTTATTCTGAGTTTCCGAGCTTAATTTTAACTAGTGTTGGGCAGTATCGATACCAAAACTACTCAGAACTCGATTCCCAAAAGGATCGACCGCACTCGATTTTTAAAAGTATCGATACTGAGTACTCCAAAGAACTCAGTACTCAAGAAAGAACTCGAAAGTACTCAGTACTCACAAAAGAACTCGAAAGTATTTAGTACTCAAAAATACTCTGATCTCAGGATCGATTCAATGTACTCAGCATTAAGTGTCGAATAGGTACTTAAAAGTACTGTGTTTTATTTACATTAACATTTTTCTGGAGAGTTTTACTTCCAGCTCTCCTTAAAGGTAAAATTAGTAAGGTAAAACAAAATCCGCGCTATCAGGAAAAGAATTTTCTTCTAATTAATTTTTGAATTCTTTAGCCTAGATCCAAGAAATTTCGAAATTTTCCATTTTATCAACGCTTAAGTTTTGGCTTATATATACCAAATGCAACTAAAACTTTCTAAAGCTAAAAAAGTGCTAGAAAAATTTGAAAAGAACTAAAGAAAGAGCTAGCTAAAGTGCTAAATCTAGCTCCAAAAGCACCAAAATGGCAACGCCGATGTGCATATTTAAAGAAAGTACTCAGTACTCTCAAAAATACCCGATCCTTAAAAGTATCGATACCAAAGAACTCGATCCTCAAAAGTACTCGATACTTCCCAACACTCATTTTAACGATCATGCATATTTTTTTTATTACAATGTATAAAGCTAAGTTCGGAGCTTTTAAGTAAACGATCAAGAAATAAATTGCTATTGTTTCGTGTGTGTGAATAGTAGTGCACCGGACCAAAAGCACAATGGTTTTTTCAACCTAGTTAATGTGATTCAAATTGAACATTTGAGAACAAATTCGTATGTATAGCAGTGACTGAACGAGCAGAGGTGCTTGCTGTTATTTGTTGGCTTCCAGCAGTACGAATGCCCTCAGCGGCAACACATAATTTGTATTTTTATTTTTCTGTGTTTTGGTTTCTCTTTATTACGAAAAAGCCTCTGTGAAGTGCAGAACCAAATCAAACGACGAAGAAAATTGATTCAAGTAGTACAGTTGGAGACACATTTATAAAGCGGCTGTAGCTGAGTGTGTAGAGATGCTTGGAGTTATTTGTTAAGGCCGTCAGAGGCAACATATTAAAATGATATTAAAAATTTTTGTTTTGTATCTCCGCATTATGAAAAAGCATCTGTGAAGTGCAGAACATAAACTTATTCAAACGAAAAATCGCCAACCAAAAGTTTGGTGAATGTAAACAAAATTGTGGTTAATATTACCAAATCATTGTTGAAAATATCAACCAAGGCATTGTTAATATTAACCAAAAATCACGTTGATTCCTTTTCAAGTTTGAATTTGGTAATATTAACCAATTTTTGGTTGATTTTTCTCTCAGTGTCCAAGGAGTTTTGACATCTGATATTTTACAGCCTACTATCTCATTTTTTTCTTACGAAATAAGGGAACGGGCATATATTTCTGTTGAAAACTAGGGTACCTTATAGTACTCTTCACAAACAAACTTTAGCAAACCATAGTAGAAAGCGTAACAAATTTCTTAAGAAGTGCTTTAGAAAATTTGGCCCAATAAATTTTTCTTTCCCCTTTATTGGTCTTTTTTTGCTCATCAAACTAAAGATATGTTTGCAAATAATAACATAAAAACAGATTTGGTATTTTTTAACACCTAAACTTCAATTGCATTGCTGCTTGGATACAAAAATTTAAAACCAATGGTTCGTCTCTACGGGAAGGCATTGGTGCTGTTGAAGAGATTAAATATAATTTATTACAAATGGGGAATAACGGGGGAATAACGAATATTACAAAAATAAAATAAAACGACCAGCGTAGATCTCTATTTGAGAATATCAAGCAACACTTCTATGTCTATTGTAATTTTTCAATCCTTGAAATAAACTTAAATAAATAAAAAAAAAACAGAACGTCAAACTGTACTTAATTTATGTGGTTTTGCGAGCTTATTTACAAGTATATTTACCAATGTTTTAGTGCTTATCTAAGCGCTTAAAATGGATTTTTTCTTGCTTATTTTTTTCGGCCGTGTTTATCACTTACTGCGTATTTCCAAACAAAAACAGTTACCTAGCAAAAAATAAAGATAAAAAAATGTACACTGCTTCTGATATTTTATTGCTATTGGAGACCAAAAACACATACAGCCTAACAAAAAAGCAGTAAGAATAAAAACTTGATTATGGCAACTTAACTTAACTTAACGTAGCTAAGAACTTAGAAAATCCAAATGAAACAGACGTCGACGTGGCATTAAGTTGCGTTAAGTTTCGGCTGTCCAAATATAAGCAACATTCATTTAAGGGAATTTTTAAGTGACATCCTCTAAGCTACGTTAAGTTGCCATAATCAGACCTTAAGAAAGGCATTACTTTCAGAAATATACGAGGCACATTGTTTTATGTTTAATAGATTTTAAAAGTAAAAAAAAGACATATTAAAGAAAAACTTCAATTTTCACGGCTCAGCAAAAGTTTCGAAATTTTCAAGAGTTTTTCAGTTTCAAGAAATAACTTTCGCAAAAATGTCGAGCTTTTTAATTAGGCTTCATAGAAAGATTTTGGGAATGTAGTTTTATAGCCCATTTAATTTAGTTAATACAGTGCAAGTAGCTAGTACTTATAGCCCAAACACAATGAAAACGACGAGCTACGGACCACGGCTGTCAAATTATTTTAACACGTAATCTTATGTAGATAATTACTTTGGCGACGACTGGGCTACGCGACGACTGTGGTTATGGCCAGATTAGATCTATTTCTATTTTTCCAGCGACAGATAAGGTTCTTCCTCTTCTTTTATGTCAAACCTATACAAATTCATGATGTCGCTGCCGCATTCAAAAAAATCATATCGTCATCGACAAAGCGTTTAGATAATGAAGGTAACAAATTGGAAGCTGTGGCCCGTAGCTAGTCGTTTTCAATGTCTTCAGAACTTTCCTAAAATCAACTGAAAACTGCAAACATCCCTTAAGTACTAACTGCTTCAAACTTGCACTTCATTACACTAGAATTGAATGGGCAACAGAAATGCACACTAAGGGCTGGTTTCTCCAATTCAACTTAACTTAGTTTAGCCAGTTTTTGGACTTAAGTCAAAAGTTAGCCTACTTTTTACGCAGCATATTCTTGACTAAGTCTAAAAAATTGGCTAAACTAAGTTAAGTTGAGTTGGAGAAACCAGCCCTAAGTCGTTCTTAGAAATCTAATTAAAAAGCACGAATGTTTGTTGAATTTTTTTTTTAATACTTCACAAGTTTGAAACCTGTGGTGGGTTTATAATTATTACACGAGGTATATAACATTACGAGGAAATGAAAATATTGCCGTTAAGTAGACATAAATTGAGCCACAGTAAATTTCTTTGAGTATAAAAAATTGTCATCTACATAAGCAAAACTTAATCATTGTAAAATGTTTCTTCTTAGTTCCTAACAGAAAACCATTTCAAGATTATCTAATGCAATATTTCTTTAACACTAATACCCATCACTATTTTCTTTGTTTGTTCTTTTACCTCCGCTTAATAACATTTCAAAAACTATAGGACGCTACAGCCCCGTAAGGCGCGCATCCGAAGGATCGAAAGCACAATTCCAAGGACCATTACAAGAGTGTCAGTATCTGCAAAAAGTATCAGCACAACGTAATTTTTTGGTTGCACCAACACCGCCACTTTCAGATAATTCAATTAGTTTACCTGGTAAGCTTTACAAAAAAAAATCAGAATAGCAATATTTTAACTTGATTCAAACATACCTAATTCCTGTCGTAATCCTCAACTTGTTTATAGATTTTTTTTTTTTAATTGTGCTAGGCATCTTAGATTGAAGGGAAATATTTGCAGTTGTCCAGCCATTACCTACTAATTATTTAATAGTTCTACAGGACTTGTGTTCAATGGAGAGCGTTCCGGAGCAACGTACAAGCTGCAGTCTCCTTGAGATAAATCTTGAGCCATATTTTCCTAAAACCTTCCTATATTTTTATTGGCGCTATAAGCGCTTAAGTAGAGCTATATGAGACCTTGCTAGGGATTAAACAACTCGGAGAGTTAGTTTCATAGGGATATATACTGCTAAAAGCGAATTTAAAATCGAGAAGGAGGAAATTTAAACTCTAATTGTCAGTTTGGGTCGAGACAAAAAACTTTGCCAATTTCCTCTCTGCTTTGAAAAATTGAGTTAGTTGTCCATCTCGAGTGGTGATAAGTTCTTTTGCGCTTAGTCCTTCTATTATATTTGTGGCCGTCCTTGCTTTCGTTGTCCGCCTATAGGTGCCGAGTAGAAGTACCTTTACAATGGTGCCTCCTCTATACGCGAATAAACCTGAAAATTCATATATATGGGCTTTTAGACTCGCTGAACCCGAATCCGAGGTCCGTTAACCTTTGTTTATGTTGTCGCTAAATCCGAATATGGGGATCCCTTGGTTCTTCAAAGTCATCTAGATGTCATGCCAAGGTCAAATTCAGAAGAAGTATATTGAATTTTCAGGTTTATTCAATGCATTTTTTGCCCTACTTTACCCTAAAATGACCTCGAACCTGACGTGATGGAGGCTAACAGACCTCGGATTTGCATTCATAACATCGGTTGGTTCAATATGGAGACTTTTTTTGTAAACCTATGTAATCTATGATATGAGCAACTTGTTCCTAGTTTTGGATTCTGAAGGGCCAGAGAGGTAGTAACTCTTCTTTGGGTAGCTTGGAACTAGACGATTGGGTCCACGAAACCTTATACGAGTAATCAATAAAAAACCAATGTTTGAATCAAGTTAATTTACAACAAAAAAAAAACTCTGAAACAAATTAAAAATATGCTTAGCTTGTTTGCACACTCAACTTATCTCCGTATTTGTATATAATCATCTATAATTATTTATCTACATACTAAGCTATTACCGCTCCTTCAAAAACTTATTTTCGTTATAGGTTCCCCCCATACATGGCAAGCCCGCTCCGCACATGATATTCCGTCGTGGTCAAGATATTGAGGTACCACCTGAAGCTGTACGAGCTCTGATGCCGCAGCTTGATCGCCTTGTCAGGGAGCATCGACTGAGCACGGATATAGCCAATAAAGTAATAGCTACTGGTATGGTGCCGCTTGACTTAGCGTCCCATTTGGGCTTGACAGCACATTCCGCAAGTGCTGCCGTAAGTGGTGGCCACCTAGAGACGGCGTCGTCTCCCATGCAACACCAAGCAATGTATAGTTTGAGTGTGTCGCCACTCTCCTTGCCAAATAGCGCTAGCGCCAGCGTTATGGGCGCCGTTAGTGGACCGTTAACGGCACCACCAACTGCATGTAGCCACAATATGGGTGCACACTCGAAACAGATGCTGGGTCAAGGTCCATACCAGCAACAGTATTTGGGTCTAATGCATCCGCAAATGCATTATCCCGGCAATGGACTGGTTGGTCAATTCAGTCACATAACACTTAGTGCGGGTGTGAGTACTTGCGCGAGTCCAGGTCAATTTAGTGGTTCAAATAGCAGTAGCGGTTGTCAGTCGCCCATTTATAGCAGTTTTAGCGGCTCATCTTCACCCAACCCCTATATGCCAGGCGCAGGGCCATTCAATCCCTGCAGTATTGTCGGCAGCGGTGGCGGCGGTGGTGGCTCATCACCACTGCATCAAATTACGAAAGGTATCTCGGTGCTTTCCACTGGCGGCGGTGGTTCGATAACACGCGGCACTTCAGCTGCCAGTGAAATAGCCTCCTCCGCAGCCGCCGCTGCTGCTGCAGCCAATCAGCCGCTAGATCTTTCCATGGATGTGTGTGCTTCGGACAGCTCTGCTGCGGAAACGCCCACGAATGCATTTGCTCAACAACATGTCAACTGGATGTTGCCGCAAGTAACTTGCTTCGATCTCAAGCCGCTAAATTTGTCGCCAGCACAACCGGTGCGGGTTGTGCCCACGCCACCTGCCTCGCCCAATCTTTGTATCATACAGGAGGAGAATGCCAATGGACAAATGTATCATACCATCACAACGGGTACGCCACATGCAGGCTGCACCGGCGGGCTAATCAACGAGGATTTGGCATCGCCATGTCAACCGTCGCATCCGCAAATATGTCTGACAGATGTGCAGGGCAGCGAGATCACGTTGGTGGCGCTGAGTTCGGAAAATAGCCGTGACAGTGACTGCGATTCGCTAGAGCCGCACACGTCTCTGATGTCATTACAGGTGAGTGGTAGCACCAAAGGGAGTAGAGTACGAATATTTTGGTAAAATTGTGGATCGCGAAAATCGCGCAAAGTCAAACTTTTTTTTGTAGAAAAAACACACATTTTCGATTACGTCCAAAATAATTACTCTATTTCTCCAACAGGGACTTATAATCACTGAACCTTCCAGCGATATGCCTTCGATTACACGTGGCATAGGACGCAAAACTAGTTTAGAATGCGCTAACGACAGCCACACGACGCGTCTAGAAAGCGATGCCAGCACGTCCAGTAATGCACAAAACGCCAGCGATTCACATCGACGCGGCAGTGATAAATCGCTTGGCTTCTCCGACGATTCACTAAGTAATGATTCAAACAATCTCTCACCCTGTCAAGAGCCTTCCGCTAGCTCCGGCTTCAAATCGGACTCACATTCCGAGATTGGCGATCATACCGAGGGACATTTATCACCCGATTCCATTTGCGATTCACGACGCATGTCAGAAGAGATGTGCTACGAAGTGCCGTTGCCGCATGAATGCTCCAACCTTGACCCGACACGCATACTGGAGTTGGTCAAACAAACCATTGACCAAACGATGCCACCAAAAGGTGCAGTCCTGCACAAAGGACTGCCGGAAGAGTACGTTGGTAGCGCGAGCGTAGCTGGAGCAACTGGTGAGACGCGCATAAGTAACGCCAGCGAATCATCAGCGACATCGATGGACACAAGCAGTAGCACGTCAGGCTACTGTGGCGGCTTTGGCGGTACCGTTGGAGGTGGCGGTAGCACAAGTACAAATCTTAGCTTGGAGTACTCGGGCGGCCTACAAATCGAGTTGCAAGTGTGTGAAGGCCGCAGCCGTGACAATCAAACGGCTGGCAAAGGTATCAAACTGCGACGCATCTCGGGCGATCAATTCGAATATGGCAAATTGTGTCAGCAGTTGATTAACAAGTTAACCATGCAGCAGGTAGCCGGTTAAGTACAAGTGCAAGTAAAAAGAATTGTAAGCGTGAGTAAACCGTGAGCACTTTGGATGTACATACCTACATATGTATGTATGTAGTATGTGCATAGCATTTATGGTAGCACGTGGCGTGGCGTATAAGTAAGGCGTGTAAATCAGGAGCGTGTAAAAGACATAAGTAGAAAATAGACACTACTGTTGAACGTTGAATAAACGTTAGTACAAAATCGCAATCGTACACACAAGTCAAAGCGTTGAATTCTGTAGATTTCCAAAAATCCGTATGTACATATATATAACTAAGTACGTGTGTATTAGATTAACAATTTTAAATCTTTATTCCTCTAAATGTGCGTGCGTATGTATGTATTTTTTTGTTATTATATATTTAAGAATTACCGGAACTGAACAGATTTTTAATCGATCGATGTTAGTGTTTGTATGCAATTAGCGCGCTCTGCGAGATTTTAAAGCGAAAGGCAACCAGCGGTAGTTGCATTAACACATACCTAAATATGTATGTAACTGTAATTAGTATGCAATTTAGGGACGAATTAGCTTAACAGAAGAACTAAAAAACATGAAATGATATATGCATCCATTTACATTAGAGCGGGTCAATTTTTTTACTATGCGCGTATAGCCGTGTAATTCTAAGCAAATTTGTCGAAGAAGCCATGTGTCTAACATCAATTTGGAGTTGGCCAAATTACGAAAATAGGTTTGGAATAAAATGTAAAAATTTCTACTATTGCGCCCTCTGGTGGAAGTCCTAAAAAAGGTTAGGTGCAGAAACCGATTTCTCATACCAAAACCCCCTATAGCAAGTTTGTGTACAAAATTTAAGCACTTTTTTACGAGACTACAGCAAAATGGTAAGAAACCCATTTTCGCAATATGGCAAACTCCAAATGGATTTTAGACTAGACCCATGGTTTCTTCGAAAAATTTGCTTAGAATTACACGTAAAATCTTTTTGGGCTATGCGCTTATAGCCGAAAAAATCTCCCATACATATTGACCAGCTTTAATGTACATAATATGTACATAAGAATGCATAACTCTCTATATAAAAAAATCGGTGCTGTTTTTCTATCGGAAATATAAAATCTATTCTATTTTAAGTCTTCCGCCAAAATATTTTAGAAAAATATTAAGATTTGCGTGAGCTGAACCTTTTTGAAAATTCCTCCAAAAATCTGCTTTTTTATAATAATTATTTTTTTAATTTTTTTTAAATCACCTTACATGTTAAATGAGTTTGAGCTTAAAAGGTGTGAATGAAAATGTTTAAAAGATCCTATCAACGTAACGAAAATAAAGTAATTTTTGGGTTTTTTCAAAACGGTCTAGCTCACATAAATCTTAATATGTTACCGAAATATTTTGCGGAAGTCTTAGAATATAATAAATTTTATAATTCCTTTGGAAAACCCGCAACGTATTTTGGTGATGCACCCTTATGTACATAGATATATTTATATTTAATTTCTTTTTTACAACAGCAAATCGCTTTTTTTGTAAATATAAATTCTAAATTATAAATACGCGGTAATAACCCAAATCCATGTTATTAAGTACATATACATATACTATATATGTATGTATTTATGTATAGAGTTCCAAAAGTACCCAGTCTGTAATTGCACAACACTTCTTTGTAAATATGTGAACGCTTCCAGGCAGTACTTACTTTTGGAAGTTCCGTTAGAAGATTACCAGTATTTAGCGGTAGCCAAAGTGGCAGAGACAGTTCTTCATAGCGTGGTATCACAAATAGAAAGGATTTGCCCTAGGGGAAACTCATTCCCTGCTGAAGTCGAAAACCAGAAGTCTGATGAGCTGATGTGGTGATCTCCGAAATAACAGCTATAATTTCTAGCGCTTAGACTTTGTTGCTCTTTCAATTTTTTCTGAAAATAAATTTTGGTATAAAGCTGAATAATTTGTTGAAGTAAATAGCTGTTTTTTGGTAATTAAGATAGTAGGTATTATGTACCAATAATACACGGGAAAATGAAGTCTTTGGAATTTTTCCGCTGTCATCACCCAGAATTATGGAAAATAAAAAAAATAGGAAACCCATATTTTTTTTTTTTGAAATCGGTTAAAACTCTTTAATGATGCCACCAGGACTTTAAATTTTTCCATGTAAATATAATTTTTCGTGCAACTGTTATAACACCGTTAAAAATAAAATAAATATTTTTTTTCGAATGAAATAATTTCCCTTTAGAAATCTTCGAAAACAATTAGGATACATATTTTACTTAAAAATTTTATCAACTATTTTTACTCCAAAAATCGGGGGAACGAACCGAACCGAATCATTTTTTGGAGTGATTTTTGGTTCGGTTTTGGGATTTTAAAATAAAAACGGTTCGGTTCGGAGCCCGAAAAAAAGCGACGGTTCGGTTCAAAACCGGTTTGCAGCCCTGATTTTTACAGTTCGTGCGTGATTCGGTTACGAATACATAAATAAGAGATAAGACTATCGGCTATAAGTTCCGTCATTGCGAGAGTCGTGTCGAATGCAAGTCGTTTTTCGAGAGTCAAATCGTATCGAAAATATCATGTCATTGGCTAAAATTTCCACTCGACTAGTGTATTAAAACGGAAAAACTTGGCAGCACTGCATAGTTTTCGACGATTTTCGTCGTTTACTTATTTCAGCACGACAGTAGGCAATGCCAATGTTGCCAAGTCGTACAATTCAATTTGAAGATTTCTGAAGTGAAATATTTTTATTCTATCGAAAAATATTTAATTTTAACGATTGTATAGCAGTTCTATACAAAAAGAATTTTCTTGTAAAATACATGGGAAACTTCAAAGCTCTGGCAGCACCAATAAATGTTAACCAATTAAAAAAAAATACTGGTCTCCTTATTTTCAATATTCTTCTGTTCTGGGAGGTGGCTGGGAAAAAAGGGGACGACGAACTCGATTAACAACCATTCGCACTTTAGGAAAATTAATTTTTATTTCGAAAAGGAATGTTTAACGCCTTTAACTACCATTAGTGCTCGTCTTCGTATGAACATTAGGGCGGGTAAATTTTTTTTCGACTACAGGCGTGTAGCATAGGAGGATTCTACGTGTAATTATAAGTAATATACAAACATGCATATGTATATACATATTAACATGCGTTTATATTCTCGTCGCGAAAAACTATTTTACATAAATTGTGCCACTGGAGAAATGAGTGGGAATGTACATAAATATATACATACTTAAAAAACTGTTATTATTGTACAAAAATACAATTAAACTAGAAAATTTTAACTCCTCGAAACGTAATCGAAAAAGTATATTAATAAAATTTCCTCTAGAAAATACGCTAAATATTGTAAAATAGCAAAACAAATAAACATAAATGTGTTCTTCGCCTGAATTCAGCACCTCAAATGCAATTTGCACGCTATATATTCAAAAATTGTAACAAAAAATTTTAAATCTGTACTAAGTAAGAAATAGTAACAATCGATAATGAAAGTAAAACTAGGGAGAATGCACAAAATCGTTGTAAGGTCGAATTATAAATGTTAAGTATGTATGTTTATTAGGAAAAAAGGCGCCTGCTAGAAGCGCAGCCCTTAATATTAAGAATTGATGGTCGCTCATCGCGAATTTCTACTTTCGGTATAAATAACACAGGAAAGACATTTTTTTCAACATTAAAAATTTTGTAACTCGTTTTTAGGTCAACGTATCGAAATGAGCGATATATGAACATATATTTTGACAATTGAAGGCTGTAAACAAGTATCATATGATTTTAATTAAACGCAATCCTCGGTGAAATGTTAAATCTTATTTACTTACTTTTTTTTAATTTTATAATCTTTAATTTTGTTTTCTCCTTGGTTGTTTTATTTTAGAAAAAAGATCATATAACATAAATTATTAAGTTATCAAGTTTAACATTGTTTTTTTTTTATCGTATGGAAGAAAACAACTGACACCGTCAAGAAAAAAATAGCCAATAAAACGGCAAGTCTTGGGTACTTCAAACTTGTATCTTGTTATACTAAAATTGAGTGCGCTACCAAACTGTATACTCAGAATCTAAGAAGTCGAAATTTTTACGAAAGTTTGGTTGTTTTTTTTTTAATGTGCACAAAGTTTAATTTTTGGATTTATACGGTTTTTGTTAAAGAGTAGAGTATATTTTTATAAAAAAAAATATTTAAACTTAAAATCAAATAGTGTTTTTTTGTATTTGGCAGTTAATTGAAAATTAAATTTAAAAAATAAAAGATTAATAGTCAAAACTTGTCAATCTGTGGGTGGTGTATAATTGTGATATACACTTTATTAAGCTTTACGCTTCAGGATTTGTTAAATAATGTTTTTTTTTCATAGAAATTTAAAAAAATGTTATGACATTTAGTGTTTAGTTTTAATATTTTACCGAAAATTTAAATTTTGTATATGTTTGGCTTAAGCGATGGATAACTTTTGTTGGAGGAAATTTATGGAAAATTCATAATGCTGAATACACACGAGGCAACAGTTGAAGCAACCTGTTTTTCCTCTTCAATACACACGAGGCAAACGTAGAGACCATCGTACAGTTCCATAAGTAAAGTAACTCTTCTTCTTACCGTTTTCTCTGGCAGGCTGTAGGTGTGTGTTTGGCAGCCTATTGGTGGGTTTTTGGTTAGTGTATTGGTGTTTCTAGTTCGGTGTGTTAAATAGTGTATTTTGAATAAATTGTAATAGAAATAAAATAAATTGTGATAGAAAGGAAAGAAATTGTAAAAGATAAGAGCACATGCCAATAAATAGGTGATCTCAGCTATAAGCATTTTTTGACTATCAGCTGATAGTGTGTTTACTTATGAAACTGTACGATGGTAGAGACAGCCAACTCAAAATTGCGGCAACATGAATTTCAATGAGCAACAATGCTACATAGGAGGCAACGATCGAAGTCCTGATTGCTTCAACGGTTGTGTCATGTGTACTCAGCATAAGATACTTTTTTTACGTTGACTTAAAAACGAGTTATAAAATTTACAAATTAAAAACAACATAATGGCTCTGTTATTTATGGAAAATAAACACTCGCGATCTCTAAATATTAAAATTAGATGCCGCGTTTTTGACAGGCGTCTTTTTTCACTGTCCCGAAAATATTTCACAAGAGATTTTGCAAAAAATAG